GGCCGGAAGATTAACCCCAGCAGCCAGAGTAGATGTGCAACACAGTACACTCAAGGTTCCATCAGCGAAACCTTCCTCCAATACCGTTCGCTCCTCTTGCGTCAAACCGCCATGATGATAAGCTACGCCACGCGGTACGGTTAGTTCGAGGATAGGACAACAAGTGCGAACAACCCCCGTACTCTTGTCCACTCTACTCGGATCAGGAACAGCATCCACGCGCAAATTTTGTATAACATCTGCCCGTCTTTCACGCATTTGTTCCACAGGGTTCGAGTCGTTTGGGTCGCTTTCCGACGAACCAGGGAAGCAAGCGATAGGAGGTAGCAGTTCGGCTAGCATTCGAGCTGTGTTCTCACAATGCACCTTCGTCGGACAGAATACCAAACAAGAGAACCGTTTGGACGATATTTCGGAATGGTCACCAAATTGACTGGGCGCTTGTTGTACAGAACAACCCAATAAGGTCTCTGCCACCAAGCCAACCAAATGATCCGGATCCCTTGCCAGCATTTGTTTCGTGTACTACGGTGCGATAGAGCGCAAAAGCAAAACAGAAATTTGTTGTGATTTTTGCGATATTTATTTGGGTGTGAATCTATTATTCAAACACGAGCTACAATGAAGCACACAGAACATTAGCACAATAGGGAAATTTTTTTAAAAACAACGTCTTCTCGATTTATCTCCCTACCAAAAATCACTTGAGGTGACACATGTAAGTCCAACCCACGGAACATTCGAGGTCATCAGTTTGGACTAAATACAACAGCCTGATTCAGTAATTCAACTTAGATGCGTTGTACAACTGTCATGGCTCTGGAAGTTGAATCTGGAAAAGCTGAGAGAAAGGCTTCAAGTGTAAGGATACCCAAGGTAGGCAAGAAGAGGAGGAAGGAGCACCATGGCATCCACATTTATGAGATATTGTGTCAAGTGCCTTCTGACACCAATACCCCTTTGAAGGCGATGTTGATCAAAAACTAGCTTTGAATGACATTTTTAAGCGTATTGGCGCTGAGTCTAGCCGGACCGATTACTACAACAAGGTCTACCATCTACGAGTAGAGAAATTCAAGCGGTTAGCGACTGTATATGTTAGAGCACCAACATTCCTATCAAACACCAATGATCACTGTGTTCTTAGATGCCCGCGCGGCCTTGGACTCTGTCGACAGAACCGCACATTGTAACTGCGGTATGAAGTACCTGAGATGTGTGTCAATCCTCAAACCTAAGGTCGAGTTAGGACCCATGGCCAGCTTTCGCCATCTATCGCGGTCTTCAGTGGAGTGCTACAAGGTTGTCTTATATCCCTATTCCTCTTCAACTTTGCCATCAAGGATGTTCTACAGACAGCAAACGGTGGAGTCGAACTCCTCCCAGGGAATAGATTCCTGGACTAAAAATATGTCGATGACGTTGTCTTGTTGGGTGACAATACATAAATAGTCCAACACGCTTTAAGGTGCTTAACGATTGAGGTATCCAGGTGTGGTACCTGTTTTGTACCTTCCAAGTGCAAAGTGCTTGTTTAAGACAGGCAGGAGCCTGTGCCTGTACTCACCCTCTGTGGCGATTAGTTAGAAGTGGCCGAGAGCTTTAAGTACCTCGCGCGTTTGATCGCAGCTGGTGTTGGTATTCCGGAGGAGATTACATCAAAAACAGCGAAAGCTAGAGCAACTTTTGCCAATCCGTGTTACCACCAGGACAAATGACTTCCCTTAAGGGAAGGGTGTACATCGCCACAGTTTGTAGCTTGCTACTTTACGGTTGCGAGACCTGGCTACTCCGCGTTGAGGATGCTAATCAACTTTCCGTATTCGACCACCGATGTCTAGTGAGAACACCGTGTGAGCCATGACGAAATTCGTCGTCATGTGTTCTCAAAAGAATTAATTGTTCTACACCACCTCCGATAGTTTGGTCACGTGTTGCGTCTGCCTGACCATCGACTACTTTTCCGAGCTGGGCAAGGCTGGAAGAAGGGCCGGGGCGGTTAGACCATGACATGGCGTGGAGATATGAAGAAGCCAGCGTCAGCTTTGGATTCGGTTGGTGCCCAAGGAATGTGGATTATTGCTGGTTAGAGATGCATTATATCCCACCCCCGTCTGTTATTCTTGTCGTTGCGCTAGCACCATGCTAGGTCACCAGTAGGCGATTATATATATGGTCCTTTTTATTTTTTTTATTTCAATGGGAAACCAA